TAAAATTAATGAAATGATAAATGAGACAGAAAATATTGATAATTTGAAAGAAAATCAAGTTATAGATAATTTGATAAAGCAATCAGATATAACTTTTTATGGAAAAAATTTATTACAACAAAATAGAAAAGTAAAATTAAATGATTACAACAAGATCTTTTACAATATTATAAAGAAATAAGTGATCAGACAGATATTGTATCACAATTACGAGAAATTCAATTAGCAATAGGTAATGAAGAAAGATTAACTGCAGAACAAAAAGTAATTTTATATGATTTATTAAAAGAAAAGATACAAAAAAATACAGAACAAAATATTATTAATATTATTCAAGAAAAAATCAAACCAACAAATGAAATTGTTAAATTGCAAGTTGATATAAAAGAAGAAATTGATTCATATAAAGAACTTAAATCACAACAACAATGTGAATTACATAATTTACGTAATGAAAAGATTAGAAATTTACGAGGAAATATAGAAATAATACATTTACAACAAGAAATTGAAAATGAAAGTTTTGTTGGTAATTTAGTAGATGATAAACATTATGATACAATGATTAAAATTAATGCTTTATTGAATGAAGATCAGAAAAAAATATTACAAGATTTGAGAAAACAATGTTTAGTTTTATTGATCAATAAAAATTACGATTCATTATTAATAGAGATACAACAAACAAAAGATATTGAAAGATTGAAAGATGATGGGTATTATGTTAATAGAATAACTGAAGTTAGAGAAGAATATTTAGAAAATGCACATTCACAAGAACAATTAGATAAAGTAAGACGATCACGTTTGGATTTTTTTTATAGTGAAAATGAAAATCAAACATATGATTTATTATTAGAATTAATTTGTAATAGTGAAAATATTAATGATATATCAAACAATTTAGAAATTTCACAAGATATACAAATATTGAATCAAACCTTATTATCTGGAAATCGAGATTTAGTATTATTGGAAAATATAAGAAAGCAAAATTATAATGATGGATTATATGATATTTTAAAATCAGCAATTAAAAATGAAAATAATATAGATAAATTAAAAACTACTTGGTTACAAGCTATTGATAAAATAGAATATGAATATTTGACAAATGAACAATCTAAATCAATACTTCAAGAATTATTAAATACAAAACTTCAAGAATTACAACAACTACCTAAACATCCACAAGCAAAATGTTCTATTGAAGAAGTTGAAAGTAATAATCCAACAACAAATCCTGATAAAGCAGACTAAGAATGTAATTTAGCAGGAACAGTAGATCAACAAATAACATATATAATTAATCAATATAGAAAAATTTTAAGTGCTGAAGATCAAAGAAAATATTTTCCTCGTACAAAAACTAAAACTGTTTCTGAAATTATTAAAAAAGCTTATGATACAACACGAGACAAACAATCATTATTAGATGTGTTGTATTATAAATGGGTATTAGGAAAAGATGATTCATTTCTTTTTGAAAAAAATTACAAAGCAACAAAAATTAATGAGACGAAAAATATAATTAATAATTTAAATAATTATTTGTATGAAGAGCCTAGAAAAAAAGCAATGATATCGAAAGAAAGATTACAAAAACATAAGAATTTTAGAAAATTACGAAAACATCCAATGATATTTGTTCCTGCAAGCATATCTTGGGATAATCCGTTTAAATTTCCTGTAGAAAAAATAGATGTGATAGCAAGTGTTAAAGTTATTATCGATCAATATAAAAACTCATTAGCAAATATTTTTGATATTACACAAAAAAATATTAATATTATATAGCAAAGTTTATCAGATATGATGCTTGAATATAAAACTGAAAACGAAAAAAAGAATTTTTTAAATATTGTAACAGAGGTGTTAATAAATAGTGAAGAAATTGAATGTATTAAAGATGAAGAGATAAAAAATATGTTTAATTCGTTTATTTTTAATTTTTAAATATTTAATACAAATATAAATTTAATATAAATAAAATAATAATAAAATATAAAATAAAATAAATTAACCAAATGTTTCAACTAATTGTTCTAATGTAAAAGCTGTATCTTCAGCATTAATAACTTCAGGTTTTAATTTATCTATATGAATATTAATTTTACGTAAAAGATTTGGAAGAATAGATTTAACGATATTAATAAGATCATTAATATTAGTATTAATATCATTTAATTTTTGTTCATTATCTGTTTTTTGTTTCTCTAAAATATTTTTATCTTTTTCTAATGTTTCTTTGTTTTTTTGAAGTGTTTCATAATTAGTTAAAAGTTTTTCATAGTTAGTTTTTAAAGATTTACTTTCCTCAATAAGTTTTTGTAAATCATTTAATTCTTTGTTTACTTTGTTAAAATTTTTACGTGATTGATCATATTTTAATTTTAAAGTTTTTTGTTCATTTTTTAATTTTGTTATTTCAGTATTTTTTTCTTTTAGTAATTCTTGTAAATCTCCAATCTTTTTATTATACTTATCTTTAATTGTTTTAATATCTTTTTCTAATTTTTCTTTTTTCTTTTCTTCTTTTTTAACTTCTTTCTTGAGAGTTTTGTTTTTTTGTATTTGGGTATTAATTCGTTTTAATAAAGCTTCTTTCTTCTTTTGACTTATTTTTTTAGTTTTTCTATGGGATTCTCTTTCTTTCTTTAAATTTTCTTTTTCGATTTTGTAGAGATTTTTTGTTTTTTTATGTTGCGATTTTTTATTCTTTAGTTTTTCTTTGGTTTTTTGGTGTTTTAATGTTTCTTCTTTAAGTTTTTTTAATATTTCTTTATATTGAGTAGTGTATTCATTTCTTTTTTTAGTCATATCATTTAATTTTTCTTTAGTATCTTTAATATGTTTTAGATTATTTTGATTAGTTAACATATTTTTATGATTATTTAATATTTCTTGTAAGAGTTTATTAAATATATCATCATATTTTTCTTTATATTTATCTTTTTCATTGTTTGTTTTTTTAAGTTCATTTATTGCATTATTATAGTCAGCTTTTGATTGAGTTGTTATTCTTTCGATTTCACTATTTTTTGTTTTTAACAACAATTCATTTTTATAATTTTTTAATATTTCGTTTTGAAGATCTTTAAAAGTTTTTTCATAATTTTCTTTATGTTTTTTTGATTCTTCATCTTTTTCTTTTATACTAATTTTTGCTTCATTTAATTGATTTTTAGTTATTTCATGAGCATTAACTTCATTTTGATAATGTTGATGTTCATTATTAACTGTTCTTGAAGGATTTTATTATATTTTGATTCTTCAATTAAGATTTTGAATATTTCTTCAAGTTTTTTTGTGTTTCTTGATGTTTTTTAATTTCTTTATCAAGTTGAATTTCTTTTTCGGTTAATAGTTTTTTGGTTGTTTGATATAAAGTATTTGTGTTATTATACAATGTTTTAATATTAGCTAGTTGTGTTTTATTATTATCAATTTGTGTTTTAAGTTGATTTAATGTAGTTTGATATCTGTTGGCATTTGGTTTGCGATATCCTACTGTATTATAATATTGATTAGCATTATTATAAATTCTAGTAGTAAAAAGATTTGTTATAGTCCATCCAGTTAATAAACCAAAAAGAAACCCAAGAACTATTTTGTTTAGAAATAATTTAAGTTACAATAAGAATAATTTAGTATATTTATTTACTTTATTTATATTATTATATTAAAATAAAGTTTTAGTTTAATTAAAAGTATAAAAAGACATTTTTATCTTATTATTTTATTTTAAAAAAATATGGCTGAATCAAATTCACAAACATTTCAACAAACATCTTCTCAACAACCTATTAGTTCGACTCCATTACAACAATCTAATTCTACAATTACTCAACAACCAATTAGTACATCTCCACAACAAATTAGAACACCACAACAATCTATTATCTCAGTTATTACACCTGATCCTGTTGTTCAAACTTATACTCAACAACAAAAACAAAGGATAGCTGAATCTGTGGCAAAACTTGGAGTAATTCTTCGAGATAATAAAAAAGAACTTCAAAATCAAAAAAAACTTTATGATGATTTATTAAACACATTAAATAGTATTGGTCCTAGTGTTAAAAAAGCAGTTAAAAATGCTTTAACAAATTTAAAAATTGATAAAGATTTACAAGCAATTAAAGAAGCTGTTAATAAGCTTGATAATGAAGAATTGAAAATTTTAATTAACACTAAAACAGATGAAATTAAAGAAAAAATAGGTGATTTTGAGGTACTGATTCCTATTGATGCTGCTGATATTGCTGGTGATTTAGAATGACTTGCCAATGAATTTCAACCTTGATATAATAGGAAATAAAAGCAATTCGTAAAAAAAATATAAATAATGAAGAAAGCAATTTTTCAAATATTATTAAAAATAAAATTATTATAATATATTTTCGTATAATCGATATTATTATTATAATAATTATTTTTATTATAGTAAATTTTTTTTTTAATATAAATATAAAATGTTTTATTTTTTAGTTTATTTGTACTACTAATAATTTTATAAATATGCTGTATTTACATATTTTACATTTTAAATAAAAATGATTACTCCAATGTTTATCTATGGCGTTTTCTTTTTACACTATATGATTATGCAATATATTAATATATATCATTGGATTCTTTTTTTTAATGAATATTATTATCAAGTTATAATTTTTACTACAAGTTTTGTAAGTTAAAAGCATATTATTTTTATTTTAAGTATTATTTAATTTATTATTTTTTTTTAAACTTCGATAATTTTATTCATTTGGATTATAAAAGTAAGAATAAGTAAATTGTTTTATTTATAACTATATAACTAATTTTATTTTATATTTAGTTTTTTGTTATAATAATATATGTAATTATTATATGCACATTGCTAAATTTATATTTAAAGTATCATCTGGATTATGTTGAAATGTCATATTATTTTATTTTAAAAGTTATGAATTACTATAAATAAACATTCATTCGTTAAAATTGTTCTTTTTTAAATTATGTCAGATATTGAAAATGCATCAAGTAGTAAAAATAAAGAAACTGATACTGCATCAGAAAGTTCAAATGATAGTAATTTAGAAACAAAGAAAATTATTTTGTTTGATAAAATTGATAAAATACATAAATCTATTGAGAACAAAGAAAATGTAGATTTTGATAAAACAATAGAAATTTTAAAACAAGTTACTGATTTAACTATAACTGATTATAATAGAGTTTATAATGCGCAAAATGAAACTATTGATGCATTAAAATTGATTAATTTAAATTTAGCATGTGAAGTACAATATTATAAAGGATGTCTTTTTGAAGAATTAATTTGATCGATTAAAGAATAGTTTAATAATTTACTTGATTTATTAGAATTTTTTATCTTAGAATTATGTTTTGTGAAAAAGATAATTTCTTTAATAAGAAATATAATACCAGTGTTTATTTTAAATATACTTTATACATTAAATTTTTTTGAAAAAATTCGCCCCAAGAACTGAACTTTTGTACAACAATTTTTCACAAAATTTATTCTTCCTCTCATATTTGTAATCTTGTATTTACTTAAAATACCTATTTTATGAACGGTTTGCAATCTTGTATTAATTTATATTATTACTATTTTATTTTTTATTTATTATTTAAACTATTTATTCAATCGTGAACTGACTATAATAGTATTACAAAATACTAAATAAATTTATGTATAATTATTTATTTTTAATAATAAAATTAAAAATAATATTTGTTATTTAAAATTACTAAATAATACATAAAAAAAATAAATAAAATTTTTTATATTATTCTTAAATCTTAATGATAATTATGTGTACGTTTGCTATGTCCTGTTTTATCACAAATATTACATCAATATATTCTCTTATTTTGATTTTTACATTTATGATTTCTAACATTTATATGAGTTCGTTTGTTAAATCCATATAAGATTACATCTTTTTTACGGCATGAACAACTTAATTTTCTTGTTTTTAATGTCTTAGATGAGACAAGACAGAAGAAAAATAAAAAGAATAGAAAAAGAATTTTCTTGTTCATACTAAAAAAAAGATTAATTAGAATGAAATTTATAATTAATTATAAAAAAAATAAACATACGTATTTATTTTTTTTTTTTTTAAATTTAAAAAAAATGATACATGTAAATATATATAAAATTTATATTAAAAAATATTTAGTTTTTTCATTCCAAAAGCTTGTACCCAAATATCTTTAGCAAATCCAGCTCCAAAATAAATATAATCTTTACTAATAATTTGTCTTTTATGTCCAGAGGAATTCATCCAACTTTTGATTGCTTGTTCTTCTGTTTCATGTTGACAGCCAAGATTTTCTAACCAGTACATTCCTTTAATTTTTTTTCGTGCGCTAGGAATATGATCATAAATTTTATTTCTTGCAAGATATTCTGCATATTTTTGTGCCTGTCCACTAATTGTCTAAAAAAAAACAATTAAAATTTGGATAAAAATGAATAAAAATAAATTACTTACTTATTTAATTCAAGTTTTTTAAGACCAATTTTAGTTCTTTCATTATTTGTATATTGCAATAAAAATTAATATTTATGTTTTCTTTAGCATATAAATGGCCAAAAATTAATACCCAATGTTTATTCTTAAAAGAAGCTCCAAAATGATTATAGTTTTTATTTAATAAAATTTTTTTATATTTATTATTATTTTGTAATGCATTAAAAACTTCATTTTCTGTTTTTTTATTATAATATTGGGTATCATGATAGTAAAATCCTTTGACTTCAGTATTTTTATCAAATTCATTTGTTAGAGAAATATTTTCAGCATGTTTTTTTGCAACAAAAATAAATGAGTATTCTATTCTAAATCTTGTAGATTATTTTTGTTACGAAGGTTATTTAATTGATCAAGTAATTTATCGATCATTTTTTTTTTTGAAATTTCATAAATTATAAATTTTAATATTTATAATAAATTTTATTTATAGAATAATAATATAAATAGTTTATAGTTATATAAAATATATTACAAATTTTCAAAATGAATTTCATCTATATCACCAAAAGATTCAAGTGCTTCATCATATTCAGTATTCTCTAGTTCTTTTAAATTATTAGTATTAAAAATTACTAATTTAATATTAATATTACCTGTTATATTAAATTTAGTGATATTAATTTTTTTAACTTTAATCAATCGATACAACTCCAGATAACATAATTTTCTTCATTTTCAATAAAGTTGCTCATATTAATTTCAAAATTTTTTTCTGTATTATCATAACATTCATCAAATTTTTTAGAAACATTTACATTAATCGAATTTAATAATTGATTGTCATCATTATTATTAAGATTTTCAAAAAATAAATCTTTCGGAGTTTCTTCAGAGATTTCAAAGTTTAAATTAGAAGTATGTTTTTTTCCTATAGCAGTTAAAAATTTTAATGTAGCAATTGGATTTTTTTTAAAAAGTTTTGCGATATTAGGAGTTTTTTCTTTCAAAATTTTAGAAATAGAAGGTTCTTGACAAATAACTTTAGTATTATCAAAATTTTCATTCATTGTTTCATTATTGATAATATTTTTATTAGAAGTAGTTTGTTCAGAAATATTTTGTTTTTTAACAGACATTTTTAATAATTATCTATATGTAATGTCATACTACGGAAATTGTAGACTCTAAAATTCCCTATTCATAGGGTAAACGAGAGTCTCCCGCATAACATCAGACAAAATAGTACTCAAAAGAGGCATGGGATTTGGGCGATTACTAAGGGTAAGTATCTCTTTATTGACTATACTGTGAGACCTCCGAGACTTGCAAGACTTCCAAAACCTCTTTTTCTTATATTACTAACATATTACTTATATACTTTTCTCTATACGCTAATTACACTAATTATGCTATTTATGCTAATTACACTAATTACAC